AGTTAAGTTTGAAGACATGATGTACAAAATACAAAACTGGCCTCATTTATTCGGCTTTTCCAACAAACAAGTCTTCGCGGTAATGTCGTTCTCTGTATTCGCGGTAATGTCGTTCGCGGTAATGTCGTTCGCGGTATTGTCGTTCGCGGTAATGTCGTTCGCGGTAATGTCGTTCGCGGTAATGTCGCTGTATCATTTTCTATTAGTTTTTACAACATTTGTTGGCCTTTGCGGTATGTTGCAGATGAAATAGAGTATCTGCTGAGTATCTGAAGTAAGCTGGATGGATTTTGAATGAGTTATGAAATTTTTAATTTTTGATGAAAATAATCAAAAATGGATTATTTCACCTAGTATAGGTTCTCACTCAATTCTTGCATTTTGCTCTGAAAACTAACAGTGCCACGAGATTCAGCATAGTCGATAACGGATGTTTTCAGTCATTTCTCATAGTCACAAACCTAAAAGCAAAGGAGTGCTAAGGCTTCGGGAAAAGCGTCCATAGCCTCCAAATCGTAGATTTTCAAGATGCCCTGTACATGCAGTTTTATACAGGACACTTCTTCTTCTGTTCATTTGAATGGACTTTAGTTATGTAACCTCGTCATACCCTATTTGATATAATTTCATTGCAAACGATACAAATGGCGGATTCCATATTTCTAAATGGCATAGAACCACAGGTAAAAGGTAAAGTTTTTTATAACAAAGTTCTTTCACGGATCATTATCATAAGTTATTTTCAGAAACATTTGGTTAACTCACGCAATAACTGAATTAGCACATGACTCGCAGAAACGATCGTTGCACGTGGTTTGTACTGGTTGTCTAATTAATTTTCTACACAAAGGGCATTTGAATCATTGTTCACGTGCATCTATGTTGTAGACGCTATAACCGCCACTATCGTCAGACATCTAAAAATAAAAAGATATTTATCCCGATGCTATCAGAAGGCAGCATAGATGCTGTATTCTTTCATAGGTCTCTATAGAGAAAAGTGTTAGACTAGTTTGGACTGATTGTAATTGAATTATGATTCTTTTATTTTTCTGTGAAAACAGTCATAATGGGTTATTTCATCCACTATAGATTAGTCTCATGTTCAACGTGATATTTTTAAAAGTTGCTAGCTGAATTCAAAGATGACAACAATTTCAAGTAGTTGATCGAATAAATATTATTTCATGTTTATGAAGACTCTCGTCAATTATTATTCAAATATGGAATTTTCCAAGTTCATTATTTGCATTAGATTGGAAAAGAAAGAAAATAAGAAAAAGGCATTTGAAGACGTTTTTTTCTTCTGAATAATATGGTGAAATCGAAAAGTCTAATATGGTTGACGCATGTTAACTTGTGAAAATACATAATAATTTTTCAATTCCATTTCTTGCAGTAGTACTTATGTGTCCCTATAAACGTGCTGAATGATTTTAAACCATAATGTTAGCTTTCTTTAGTGTCTCGAAAAAATTTGTTTGGTGTAATGAAACAAAAAATATTACTTTACGTGGAATTATTTGCGGATCAACAAGAGGAAGCAAATATTTTGTCAATACGGTTAAATTAAAATTCCTTAAAAATAAATTTTTCATTGAGGCTCTAGAAAATTAAAACTCCGTAATGGAAACCTAAATGGAAACGTCAACAGCAATGTTTGGAACTATAATAATTCTTCAGATTGCAACTTCAAAACAAAGTTTTTCAAGCTATTTCAACATGGTGAAGAACTTGTTGTCCAAGGATTCTATTTTTACAGTAACAGAAGCTTTTGCTCATGCAAATGTACCTCTAAATTGTATGAAATAAATGAAGTAAACCGTATTGACAAAATATATAATATAATATAAATATTACCAACCGTTTGTGTTCATCACATACTAATCAAAAGTTATTCAAGAAATGGCCATCCTTTTTCTTTTGCGAAATGGATAATAGTTCCTAAGCTGAAAATCGCAAGTTTCTATCATTCTGCTATCAAAAATTATTCAAAAAAATAACCGAGGCCACTGTTCATTTGGATAGATAATACTATACATTATAAATGAAAAATGTTTCTAATATATGCGTACACTTATACTAGATGGGGGAAATTTCTAAAAAAGGGATATTAGGAAGAAATCGAGTTAAAGATGAAAATCCTCACAATGAGGTTTTGTTTTTATATTTTATCTATTTTTAGCTTATATCCGATAGAGCATTCAAAAACGAGATAGACTTAATACAGGTTGAATGCATTGAGAAAGGAGATGATTGTGAATGGTTTGGTCAACTCAAAAGCTATCAGGTTCGATACAAATAAATGATTTTACTATATTCAATTTTGAAAGCACATGTGTAATAAATCTAATTAGGAACATCTTGATAAATGTCATTCAAATATCAAATGTCAGTTTTGCAGCGAACGATTTCCATCATTGAATGTGTTAAGAGAACACAAAAAGAACACATGTTATAAAGCAGATATATCCTGCCCGTTGGTTGAACATGGATGTGTTCGTCATGTAAGTCATTCTTTTATAGTATAACTGTATAATTCTCTTCACTGTTTTCTCTGCTTTTTACGAATACTTAGATGATGCGAAGCGAGCTCGGTACACATTTTTTACAAAAGGAACATCAAGTAATTCTAATAACATGCCTTGAGGAATTAAAATCAAAAATGGAACTTTTAGTAAATGGCGATGATAACACTCACATACCAACCACAAATAGTACTGATCCTTCTTTGATGGTAGTCAAGCATGAACACATGGATTCAAATCCGATGAAACGTGATGCTTATCTTATTTAATACCAATACTGATACTGCTAGTGCTACATCTAATCAAATAAATAACATTTACAGTGAACTAAAAAAATATTATGATATATTAATCGTTTTAACCCAGAGCGTTCGAACGTTAGAAAATGATGCGACTAGATTAAGCGAAGAATTATTACATGCAAACAATCTTATACAGGCAGCTCAAACTGAATTACAGCAGATTAAACTGTATATGAATCAAAAACCTACATGCTTAGCTAGTATAGCAGAAAGTCAAGCGATCCTTCAACAAGAACTCCCGAACTTAAAACAAAAAGTGAATGGAATCAAATTTATTTCTTATGATGGAAGTTTGTTATGGAAAATAACCAATGTTTCGAGTACAGTGGCTGATGCACAATCTGAAACAGAAACGTCGATTTATTCGCCGATATTCTACTCTTCACTAATCGGATATAAGATGAGAGCGAAACTCTATTTAAACGGTGATGGAGAAGCTCGTCGAACACACGTGTCGATATTTTTTCTCCTTATGCGTAGTGATCATGATCTTATCCTCAAATGGCCCTTCAGTCATAAAGTAACTTTTTGTTTATTAGACCAATCCGGTCAAGATCGACATCAGAGTGACTCATTCCAACCAGACACGAAGTCCAACAGTTTCCAGAGACCGCGTTCGGAAATGAACATCGCCAGTGGAATTTCGAAGTTTTTGCCGCTATCGTTGATTCACCAACCCAATAACAGCTACATTCGAGATGATACTATGTTTATCAAAGTGATGATAGATTTGGCAGACTTGCCGAAAATGATTTTACCCTTCGCATTGAATTTGAACCCTGGTCTTCCTTCTCATGTGCAGCAGCATTTAATTAAGCAAGAAATTCAGAAACGACAGCATACTTCCACAATTTTATTAGTCATTCCGCATCCGACAACAACTTCAACTGATTAAGAGAACGGTATTTAAGCTTCATTCATAAGTTTCTACTGTAAACTTATATTTATCTACTAGCTCAAATATTTCACAGATTGTTTTACTTGGAAAAATCTGCACAAGATATTTTTGTATTTTTTTGCCTATAGATCTATAAAAAATAAGCAACTCAAGAGGATGTCGTGCCATTTACGTGTGTTTCACGCATCTTTCACGTACGCATTCTGATCACTGGACAAATTTCGTCATTCGACATAAATCAATGATTGGAGTGAAGTTTTAATTTTAAAATTCAAATTCTGAAGTATACAATGCTATTATATAGCTTGATGATACACTTGAAGAGTCGATATAAGAAAAGCTTTTATGATTTTATATCAGAAATCCGACCATTAAACTGTTGTATAAATCTGGGTTGCTATACTTTAGTATCTTGATTTCAAACAAAGATAGATAGATAGATATCATAGTATTATCTCAGTTCAGTTTTATTGTAATCCCGGATAAGGTAATTACCAAACTTGACACGTGTAACACACATAAACACACACAAACACAGCTTTTGAACTGGATAGTTAAGTGTTGAATGAGAAAATCTTTTTATTACTCAATAGTGAGCAGAAAAGAGTAAATAGAAGTTAACGACGCGTTTCGACTAGAAGCCTTTCTCAAGTATGAATGAAAAGAGAAACAGATAGCATATATAAACATATATATATATATATATGTATATATATATACATACACCAATACAATATATTGGCCTCCAATAATATTGGTCACCCAATATACTGGGTTTTCACAATATTATTGGCCATTAGGTCGCCTGAGTTCGGCCTACTTTTACAGTACCGACGTTATATCTCGTTTGATTCACGTTAAGTTTCCTATTAACATATCTTGCAGAGACTTGCAAGGCGCATCGAATGGTGTATGAATGATTAGAGGTCATCTTTAGTTTCACAGAGAAAGGTGATGGTGAGTTAACGTAGCATAGCGGCGATGAAAAAATCTAGTATTTGATTCATAAAACCTGCATGCCAGGCTTTATTAAGTTTCTTATTAACACATATCGCAGAACTTTTTAAGGCGCATCGAAGGATATATGAATGATTAGAGATCATCTTTAGCTTCATAGAGAAAGGTGATGGTCAGTTCGAGTAGCATAGCAGCGAAAAAATCTAGTATTTGATTCATAAAAAAATTCGTCCCGATTGAAAAAAATGCGAAACAAGGGGGCGTTTTTTCTCATCAGATGAAATTATTGAATGTCTGACAAGCAGAGCCCTGCAGGTTGATCCTAATCTAACCTATAGATTAGGTTAGGATTAGGTTGCAATATTTATAGGATAGGTTAGGTTATAGGTTGTTCTATTTCTTTTTCAATGTTTAGGTTAGGATTAGGTTGTGGAATCCATAGGTTAGGTTAGGATTAGGTTGTGAAATTTTTTATAGGTTAGGTTATAGGTTTTAAAACACGTAAGGGCACATACGAAGCCAGTCGCGACGCCGAGTCTTACAAAAAAAGCAGGTAGCGTCAGCTTTTTTCTATCAGACTGACGAAGATTGGAACGCTTTATCAGAAACAGTTGTTGCAGCACGCACACTGTAAAAAATAAAGTGTGCCGCTGAATGTGCACATCACGTTGGACTGGTTTTGCACACTGAAAACGGCTTCTTCAGTGTGCCGGTAACACACTGGAATTGCACATATAGCTTCCACGGACAGAACGAGAAAAAAGACCGAAGAGAAGAATAATTCTTCCGGTTTTTTTTCCATAGAGAAACGCAAGATAAAAATTCAGATTACACAGTGACAATTTGCACATCACTTTGGACTCGAAATTCACCTTTGGGGAAATACACAGTAGCGGGCACACTTTATTTTTTACAGTGTACTCTAGGTCAATTCAAAGCGACCTGAAATATCATTTACAAATTTGAGGTGTTTTCTGGAGGTTGTTTTTTGTTTTTGTTTCTCTTTATTTCTGTACTCTATTCTGTAAGAGTGAAACTATAGATATAAGGGTGTATTCGCTCTCTCTCGTGGTGTGGTTATTCCAGGTGGCAGTGTGTATAAGTATGTTTTACTTTTTCTGCTTTCCTACAGCAGCTCTTTCTTTGTAAATTCAGTTTTGTTTGTGAAATAAAATCAAGTTCAAGTTCAAGTTAGCTAATCCTAAAAATGTGTTGCAAAATTAGTTGATTATGAATTTTTGCTTTGGCCATATGATATTGAATCAAGCTCTAAATAATATTTCTAGAGTCAGTTTCATACGGGGAATCATACGCAGATTATGAATTTGACATCGGTGTATGTCGAAGGATCGAGAAAAAAATGACGAATCGAGGAATTATTGAAAATCGTCTCCAGAAACGCACAATACTCCCCCAACTTGCACATGTCAAAAAGACATCCTCCTAGTGATTTAAAACTTTCTTTTATATATCAATCAATACAGAATTATCAACTGTACAAAATAACAGAAGTTGTTTTTAGGTCAAGCCGAATTACCGATTTCTAGGTCCAAAATAATGTTTCTGAGATATTAAAGAAAGATTGATTTAGCCAAGATTAGCCAAGTAACCTATACAGTTGGACTAGGTTTTCTGGTTTAAGCACTTTTGATTAAGATAATCACCAAGGAAACTGTAGCAACTGGCTTGTGTGGCTTTTTTCTTTTTCCCGGTTTCGCTTCTAATACTTTTCGTTCCGGAGGTACTAGTTTTTGTGTCAGTTTTTCCCGGATGTAAAGGTATAAGAAATGTTTGTCCCTAAAGCTTGTATTTGCTAAATGCTAAAGCGTTTCAATAAAAAATTGTAGAAAGTTGGTTGACGTCTTATTTTGAGGATTTCTTTTGGCCTATGATTCAGCGAACTCAAAAATCCAATTTGCAGAACTCTGGTTTTCCAAGGTTTTTCTGGAAAATCAGTTTCTGGGCTTCTGCTTATCGAAGCAAAAACTTTTGATCATGTATTCGAGTTCGGCATCATCAAAAACTGACCTAGATTCCATATCTGAAGCTTGTGCGCACAGGAAGAAATTCATGAGTCTTTGGTGGTGTGTAAGAAGGTCCTTAAAATCAAGGCGCTTATGAAACCAAAGATTTTCTAATCGAGATTTTATAGACGTGGTAGCTTACCATACCTGGAGTGTATGCTGAAAGTTTCCGCTCTTTATCTTCCACAGTTTCTAGGAAAATTGTCCAATCACTTTTTTCATATCACAGAGCTCTGCCATTTGCGCCAGTAGAACTCCAGAACAAAGCACTAGAAAAGTCTAAGATTTTTACCATAAGCTAGTCTCAATGTCTGTGGTAAAAGCTTCAGCTCAATCGGTTACTATCAGTGTCGCTACCTGTCTGATCCTACCAGAACGTAATTCTTAAAACCAAATCAATGGACAGCGCCGAACAATAAATAAGCATCTCCTCAGCAAACCTAATCTGACACAAGTTTACATCCGAATTTTTGGGACCTAATCTTCCCATCTAACAGAAAAATGGCATTTTTCTATTCGACTCGATGGATCCCTATCCAATCACGGCAAAAAAGCGGAAAAACAATTTCGCTTCGTTTTCTGGCTTGTTCGCATTTGAACTTTAGCACAAATAGAACTTCTAGAAAGCTGAAGGTTTTCATTTCCAGAGAATGGTAAACATTCATTTCCTAAAAGCATGGCGACGAAATATTTTCCACCACGAATATGTTTAATGGTACCATGAACACGTATTTGTGGTGAAAAATCTATGTCTGGGCAAAGACTTTGTTCCGTCTGGAGAAAAGAGAATACGTAAGTCGACGTCGCAAGCATTGCTCTTCTTTTATAAACTACAATCCTCTGTGTGAGTGCTGCTAAAAAAGTTTACTGACCTGATGTCAAACAATATATAGAGGCAAGCAAAACGCTGAGATTTTTATGTTTAAAAACAAGATTTTTGCAGATCTCCACTTCTAGTCTCGATTAGACGATATCGTATCCGATTTACGTTTAGCTCATCCAATATCAGAATTTCTCGGCTATTCTAATAATATTAATTTTTCTGCGTTGAAACGTGAAGAACACAACCATTTACCATCATTAATTATTTTATTTAAAACTATTCAGTTGTGGCAACAAGAAAATAAAAAATTCTAGTCCGACTTACCTCGTACACGTCAAAAAAAAGATGATTATAAACAGTTTCCACTGAGCTATCGAGTTTATACATTCCTACTTTTTTCTATCATATTTGAGATGATGGGAGAAAATGAATTTTCATTAACTTTTTGTAAGGGTCTTCCAACTGTTTCTCCTGGATCACCAGGCGTTTCACCTTTGTCAATTCTATCTAGTAGTGGTGAACAAATTTCGATCAGTTCTTTCGTTTTCTGTTCGAATGCCTCTTGACTATCTTCTAAAACGAAGAACACCAAATGTTTTTTATGATAGAATGCCAAGCAACTTACTCGTATTCATATCTATCCACATGAATGGATTGTTAATGATATTTCTCATTATTTTCTTCTCATCAGCTGTTAATTTTTTAGTTAAATTTTGATCATTTATGGTTTTTGACAGCCGTGAGCAGTATCCCTCCAGCTCCTTTCTTGCTTTTCTGCGGAGTTCGTCCTGCATTCCATACAAGATTCCATCTGAAATAATCTTTATTGGTATTGCAGAAAATACAAAAAGGAAATAATTTACTTGGTTCTTGATTATTTGCCATTATTTAGTACTTGAATTTTAGCTTAAATAAAGAAGTTTAGTTTACAACTATAGAGCAACTGAAAAGTGATGTGGATTAATATGTAAGAAGGAAGAGACAGCGAAATTTATTGAAAATATTTGCAGTAATGTACGATTAATATACATACATATTATGAAAAAAGTCGTCGGTCTGAAGTTATTTCGAGGAGGTAATCGCTCACTACATAAAACTTTATATTCTTTATTTTGTTATCAAATTACTTCTGACTCTCTTCAGAATGACTCAGTCTATCATTGTAGAGAGTTACGTGAAAAAGAGGTGTTTGCTGAATTATTTCGAGAAGAATGATCCTTGTTTTTTCTTCTTAGCTTATAAAAAAGGATGACTATGGGTAAGTATGCATCAGTTACAGTTAACTGTGAAAACCGTAACTGCTCATAACTGTACACAAATATTCTAGAGTGAATTAGTCTTCTGCGATTTGCATACATTTTAAGGATGTCTCCGTTCTTAAAATGTATGCAAATCGTAGAAGACTAACTCACTCTAGAGTATTTGTCTACAGTTATGAGCAGTTACAGTCATACAGTTACGACAGTTATGACAGTTACAGTTTTCACAGTTGCAGTTAACTGGTAGAAAACTGTAACTGATTCATAACTAACTATGGGCTTTACACATCATCAGAAGATTTTCTCTTATTCTATATCGAAAAAGTGCATTAACATTAGAAAGCTCATGACGAAGGCAGTATTTTGTAGAATTTCAAACAAAATGGAAATTCTATCCTGAACATTATAAAGCTTTGAATTTATTTAAGCGAAACTGGAAACATTGCTTTTGTTCATAGTTTTCTTATGCTCTTCTTATCAGTAGTATACGGTTTAAACCTACAAAATGTAGAACAAAAATTCGTCGAAAACACAAAACTTCCTATTTCTATACGATACCTCAATTAGTTTGAGGTACAGAAGTTTGAAGCTTTGGGCAAATCCATCTGAAATGTCCCATATTTTACAAACGTTTTTCTGCTTCATTTAAAACCAACCATAGAGCTCATCAAGTTATGTAAGAAACTATCGTTTCTGACTTCGTAGCTGATGCAGAAACCGAAAAAAATGACTTTTAGTCTCCCAGCAAAATTATTG